CATTTCTTAAGAGTATATTAGGGGTATTCTTTCACCTCAGTATTTGCCTTTATTTTGTCCAAGTGACCTTGATACGAGAATTACAGTACCCATGTGCCAGACCCTCGCCATGCTACCAAAAGAACTGAGGTTATGTAGTAACCATGAACTGAAATATGTAGACAGAACCAACGAAGGAAATAAGACACAAAAAGAAGTATGAAATAAGAATATAAGGGAGAGTAGAAAATCCCCGCCGTTAATGGTGGGCTCGGTGGTTCAGTAGTAGTAGAGCGTGCCCCCGCCCTTACAGTATCTTGGGGAATGAGGCAGAAGATGGCCTTGCCAAGACTGGCTGTAACAAGGCCACACCTGACTACGTTGTTCCTCGAACACTTTTATAGCTTACAGGACTAGCACTAGGTTCCTGCTTCCTCTATCAAGGAATAAAATATTGAAATTGAAATTGAATTATGGGACCTGAAATGGTCTGTGTACTAGCGATCAGCTGATGTGAGGGGGTGGTCACACTGGTGCCACTCACTACCCACCTGACTCGCCCAGAACTCACTTTCCTCTCAACTTATTTTGTAATTACTTTATCCTCTGAAGATGCAGAGCCCAACTCGACCAGCTCATCATCCACATCACTGTCTAGTGGTGTGGCTGTGGACACATCTGACACACAGGAAACACCATTTCCAAGCTGCAGTGCTTCCAGCATCTTGTTTTTCTGCTCCAGTGTAATTGCTTGCCTTGATTTCTTGGCCTTTGGGGTAGTTAATGATGTAGTAGCTGGCCTCTTGGACATAGTGGCGATGGTTGATGCACGTGGTAGAAGGAGATAGTGTTACACAATATGTCCGCTCACTTGAGTGTCAGTGAGAGAACTGAGGATGTGTAAGGGTGTGAGAGGGTGGCGGGCAGCCGTATAGCGTCCCCAGAGACACGTCTGGTGGGAAACATTAGGTGCGAAATTGACACGCACAAAATAGGAAAGATTCTCTTTAAATTAAAACATTGTCCTTAATTGTGGGTGTAGCTTTAAATCAATAATCTTAAATTGAATCGCTTTAAATCGACGTTCTACTATATAGTAAACCCTTGATCACTCGGCATTTGATAACTCGGAATTTCATATAACTCGGCATGGATATGGTCTCGGAATGTATTAGTATAACTTGGGAAATGCCGAGATATATAAAATTATCCGGGAAAACCTCGGCATATCTGGCCACCTGTGTCACCTACCGTGCCTCTGTGTCACTCCGACCACATAGTTGGCACGGGCAATCCCCAGTGGAGGTTCACTGCGCATAACAAACACAATGAACAGGCTTTGTGTGGAATAGAACAAAGCCTAGGATTGCTTTTGTTGTCCTTGTGGCGAGGTGGTACCGATCCCTGTTCACACACAGGGTCAGGGTTCGATTTCCGACTAGTGAGGTATTGTTTGTATATGGAAGTCCGCATGATATATGTACTGATAAGATATATATGTAGCCTCGTGTTTCTTAGCTGGATTCAGTAAAATGCTACTCCGACTACATAGTTGGCACGGGCAATCCCCAATGGAGGTTCACGGAGCTTAACAAGCACGTTGAACAGACTTTGTGTGGAATAGAACAAAGCCAAGGATTGCTTTTGTCACCTTGTGGCGCGGTGGTAGCGATCCCTGTTCACACACAGAGGTCGAGGGTTCGATTCCTGATAACCACAAGGAAAGAAGAGAACACGAAGTTCCCAAGCGCTTTTGTGTAATTCACATCTTCAGGGGTGAGTACAGACTAAGGAGAAGTACAAAACAAGGTGTATATATACAGAGGAGGGTGAGATCAAGTCCACAATGGTCAGGTATTAGGTAATGACCCTACTAATCTTCAAAAAGTACCGCAGTTTGTTTCTAATGGTGAATCTGAATGGACCTGTGTACGGAATGGTGAAATAGATAAAATATTTAGGAACGTGTGGATTTGAGGTTGTGTGGGACCAAAAATCCTATGAAGGGTTTTGCCCATATCAGTATCTATAAGTCTCTTAGGGAAACCATTGTTAAAGAGTAGTTCCCGTATATAGTTCAGTTCAATGTCCAGGTGGAAATAGCTTGAACATATATTAAAGGCTCTGTCGGTAAGGATACGCACTAGCTTTCGTTTGTAATTAAGAGGAATGAATGATGTAAATTTTTTACTCAAACCTGTGAATGTTGGTTTTCTGTATAAGGCTGTCTCGAAACTATTATGAAGACGGTGGATATTAATATCAAGAAATGGTAGAATATTGTCCTTTTCTGATTCACAAGTAAATTTGACGTTACCATGCTTCAAATTTAGATAATTTAGGAACATAGTGACATGATCAAGCGATCTGAAAATTAAAAATGTCATCAACATAAATTCGATAGAACAAAGGCTTAAATTGGGCGGAACATTCGGTTAACCAAAATTTCTCGTGGTGACAGAGGAAAGCGTTGGCCAACATGGGACTTAAGGGCGAACCCATAGCAACACCATCACATTGTTTATAAGCTTTGTTATTAAATAAAAACAAACAAACATTAACAGCCAGTTTTAAAAATTCTTTAAATTGTGGTCTATTGAATCCATCGACTATATCTGTATCTGAGAACTATTCATCTGTACATATGTCAATAGTTTCGGCAAGAGGAATGTTGGTAAATAGAGACTGTATATCAAAGCTAGCCATAACACAGTTGTTGAAGGTGATGCTGGTTAGTTCCTTGACAAAACTAAAAGAGTCTTTAACAGAATATTGATTAGCGGTTATTGGTGACAATATGGGAACAAGGAATTTGGACAGATTATAGTTGAAGGTGGCAGGGGCAGACAATATAGGGTATGACAGACCTTATAGGATACCTGGTTCAAACCCACAAACAAAAAGTTAAAAAAAAACCATTAATACTTTTACTTTTATCCTCTTCGCCACTGGTCGGCTTGTTAGCCGCTTGGGCGATCGGTCACGTCTCTGATTGCTTTTCTTTTTCATTTATCTTCTTCACCAAAAGATCGGCTCGCTAGCCGCCCGGGCGATCGGTCACGTCTCTGTCACGCACTGTAGGCAAATACTAAATACTGGGCATGCACCGGCTCCTGAATGTACCTGAACCCGCTCCAGTGTTGGTCAAGTCTTGTCTTGAAAGGGCTCACACTCGGTGCCATCACCACACTCTCTGGTAGATTGTTCCAAGAGTTTACAACCCTCACTCCGAAAAAGTTTGCTCTCACGGTTTTCTGGACTTGCGGCTTCTTCAATCTTGAGCTGTGACCCCTTGTGGGGCGAGCGTCCGCCAGCTCCAAGTAAGGACACTCAACTGAGTAGTGCCCCCTGAGATGCTTATATACCTTAACTAGGTACCTTTTGTCCGTCTGAAGTATAAGCTAGGCAAGTTCAGGCGCTCCAATCTCTCAGGGTAGCTGAGGTGTCGAAGTGCAGGCACCAGTCTGGTGGCCCTCCTTTGAACATTTTCAACCAACTGACAGTCCCTAGCATATCTCGGGGACCAGATGGGGTGACAGTACTCCAGATGGGGAAGCACTTCACTCCTGAAGATCGTCACGAGGGACGGACCGTCTAGATATCTGGACGACCTTCTTATAAGACCCAATAATTTATTTGCCTGATTTACCTTCTTCTCGCAATGGCCCGAGAACTTCAGCTCATTGTCAACATACACACCTAGGTCCTTCTCACACACAGTCTCAACTAGTGCAGTTTCTTCAACCCGTTGGGACATATGATACGCCTCCTTACCATTGGTACGCCCCAGGTGCATCCTCTTAATGACATTCTTGTTTTTAAGTTTACGAAAAATTCTGTTTATCTTGTTCTCATACTTGAGAATTACCTTGGTTAAGTCGTCTAGGATGGGGGCCAAGTTATTTCGGGAAATTAAGAACCAAGCGGACTGTGAAGAGCTGCAGAAGGATCTGTGTGAGCTTCAAGAATGGTCGAAAAAATGGCTGCTGAGATTCAACGTCACGAAGTGTAAGAAGAAAGATGCAACTGGGACATACCAACGGTAAGGAGGCGTATCATATGTCCCAACGGGACGAAGAGACTGCATTAAATGAGACGGAATGTGAAAAGGACCTAGGTTTGTATATTGACAATGAACTGAAGTTCTCGGGCCATTGCGAGAAGAAGGTAAATCCGGCAACTAAGATATTAGATCTTATAAGAAGGTAGTTCAGATTCTAGAATCTAGATGTTCCGTCCCTCGTAACGATCTTCAAGAGTGAAGTGCTTTCCCGCCTGGAGTACTGTCACCCTGTGTGATTCCCGAGATATGCCAGGGACTGTCAGCTGATTGAAAATGTCCAAAGGAGGGCCACCAGACTGGTGCCTGCACTGCGGCACCTCAGCTACCCGGAGAGATTGGAGTGCCTGAACTTGCCTAGCTTATACTACAGACGGGCAAGGGGAGATCTGATTGAGGTGTACAAGCATCTCAAAGGGCACTACTCAGTCGAGTGTCCATACCTGGAGCTGGCGGACGCTCGCTCCACAAGGGGACACGGCTCAAGGTTAAAGAAGCCGCAAGTCCGGAAAACTGTGAGGGGTGGCTTTTTTGGAGTGAGAGTTGTGAACTCTTGGAACAATCTACCAGAGAGTGTGGTGATGGCACCGAGTGTGAGCTCTTTCAAGACCAGACTGGATAAGCACTGGAGCAGGTTCAGATACATTCAGGAGCCAATGCATGCCCAGTACTTGCCAACAGTATTGAGTGCTCTATATAAGGTGATATAATGTTATTTGCCCGACACAGCATAAAAAGTTGCTAAAATCCAAGTCTTCTGGCGGTGCCATTCTTATTTGATGTCAAATTTATATGAGCAAATTAGAGGCCAGAGCAAGCTTGGCCCCTCTAATTTTTTTTTCAACAGTATCTCAAGCAAAATCAGTTTAATTGTACATTAATTCAGAAATTACCTTGATTTTCTGTAAAGGTAATTTGATGTAAATGGTGTGCACCAGTAATTAGCATTGATATTTATATGGTATTTATAGGATAAAAGAGATTGAATAACTTAAACTGTGTTTTTCAACAATTCCAGGTACATTACAACACTTTGCTGATACTGAATATGGCAACAACACAAAAGTCAGAAAAAAGTTTTGTTCCTGCAGCTTGTAAGAGGTTATGGGAAAGCCTACCCTAGAAAATAAAAAAAGACTATCCCGACAGAGGTTTCTCAAATATGACGCGACTTGAAGATGAGTCATCTTGGTGCTGATCTGAATAGTGCTGTTGCACAAAAGCTTCAGGAATGGAAGCAACAGGAAATGAAGTAAAAAGGAAGGCTCCTATCATTCTGGACAAAGGTAGGCCTAACTTAACACAGTATTTTATACATTTTTAGTCTATATCTTGTAGAACTTTTAACAAATTAATATTGCAATGAAAAATATAAAAATGTGTCACTTACAGGGTAAACACAGTCTGCAATTTTTTTTAGCTGTAGTTTTAGTTGAATGTTTCTTCTATATGTTTACAACAAATGCACATTGGGTATACTTAATCTGACATTCACTTTTCTTCTCCCAACAGCTCCAAAGCTGGAGTACAGAAGGAACAAGCTGACCCTGAAGACAAAGCTGATGATCCTTATACAGACAGGGAATGTTGAAATTGTCAGTGTAAAGGAAGTGAAAGAGCATGTCCCAGTGAAGCAGGCCATTACCTCTCCAAAACAAGACCAGCTGAATCTCAAATTATGTGAACTTCAGGATCATGTCAATGAGCTGTACAAGGGTTGTGGCATGCTTACATATGAAGAATGCAAATCTTTGAAAAAGAAAGAAACAGAAATTGATGATTTGAAGAAAGAAGACTAAACCGAATCAGGAAAGACAAAGAAAGTTTCGAGAAAATTACAAAAGGAAACTTGAAGAATTGGATGAAACAACATGAAAAAAGCTGGAGGGCAATCCATCCTCAACCAAAGGAAGGCCACCAAAGATTGCAGATGATAATTTGTTACATAATGCCATTGTAGAAATAACACTTGGAGGCTTTGCAGCAGATGAGAAAAGACGTTCTGAAGTAATCAGAACTGTCAAGACTCTGGATGACTTAACAGCTCCTTTACATACAAAGGGTTTTCAATTATCACGCAGCTCAGTTTATTTGCGACTACTGCCTAGAAATTCCTCAACTCGAGAGGGAAAATGATATGTGAAAACAGTTCCTATTAAACTAATCTGGGACATCACACATAACCACCCCTAGACACTTAAATATTTAGACTGAGAACTGAGTTTTCAGAAATATATATTTTTTTTACATGCAAACAATATATTAGGAATATATTAAATGAAATATATTTGCTTTCATTATTAAAGTTGTATTACTTGCTTTTACCTTTATTTGAAAAAAAAATAGCATGCATTTGACAAGGTATAGAAAGATCTCAGTACATATATATTTTTTTTAATTCTTAGTGCACTTTTAGTATTAAAAAGACTTTCGAAGATTACATCTGTAAGATTTAGGCTTTATTTTATATTTTACTGTTACATAACTTTTCTTCTAACACCCCCCACCCCCTGTAACACCCCAGGCTATGAGTGATCCATGTTCTTGTGTAGTATGACTAAATCAGGATTTCTATTCCTCAGGGATTGCCATATAATTTGTCGGATGCGCTTGACGCATTTTCATCGGTGCAAGTAATATTCGTTTAATGTTTTATATGCTACTAAGCGATGTAGGATGTATGAATGAATTGTTTCAGACGAGTTCCTCGTTCTGGTGTCTGTTCTGATGTATGTAGTACTGCTGCATTAGTAGTTCTTTTTGGATGCATTAATGTCTAATAATTTTGTTGATGCCATGTATAATTTTTGTTTCCCATTGTAGTGTTGTAAGCTACGCTAAGGAGCACTCTACAAGTAGTGCTTGTGTACAATTATTGATTCCGTCTGTAGTGTTGGAAGGAATAGAAGTGCTATCTCTTCCCAGTGCGTCTCATTAACCCCAATCACAGGTACTAGCTATTCCACGGTCATGGAAAATACTTTTATTAATTGTGTTTGTGCTGGTTCGGTATTCTCTGAGAGGTTTCCACTGCATTACCATCCACTATAATTAAAAAAACAACAATAAGTAGTGAGAATTCCGACCGGTTACAAATGGTAGCAGAGTGTAGCTGTTTCGTGACTGGTAGTTCTGTGGTTGGGATAACAAACGCAATCATGGATTGGCTAGAAACGGTAGAGAGTGTGACCCCAGTTCTACTCATACTTGCAACGGGGATCGGCTTTTTGTGGTTGACAGTACGGATGTACCTGGAGAGAGGGAGAGACAGCCAGGGATTAGTACAGCTGAGAGAGGAGTTCGTGGAAGTAAGGGGGGAGTGTCAGGCAGGGGTAAACAGAATCAGGGGGGAGTATCAGGAACACATTGAACAGTTAAAGGAGGAAGTAAGGGGGGAGTATCTGGCAAGGGTGAACAGAATCGGGGGGGGGGGAGTATCAGGCACACATTGAACAGTTAAAGGGGGGAAGTCAGGGAGGAGTGTCAGACATGGTTGAACAAAATCTGGGGGAGCATAAGAACATAAGAACATAAGAAAATAAGGAGTCTGCAATAGGCCGGTTGGCCTGTTCATGGCAGCTCCTGTCGAGAGTTACTACCACTCTCTATCATCCATGAATCTATCCAGCCTCCCTTTGAAACTTTCCAGAGTTCCCGCACTTACTACAAAGTTGCTAAGCTTGTTCCACTCGTCCACCACCCTATTTGTAAACCAGTTCCTTCCTATCTCCCTCCTAAACCTAAACTTATCCAACTTGAATCCGTTGTTCCGAGTCCTATCCTGCTCGGATATTATAAGAACTTTATCTATATCATCTTTATTGATTCCTTTCACCCACTTGAATACTTCTATCATATCTCCCCGCACTCTTCGTCTTTCTAGGGAATGCAAGTTTAGTTTCTTTAACCTATCCTGATATGGAAGGTTTCTAAGTCCCGGAATCATTTTCGTCATTCTTCGCTGCACCGACTCTAGTGAATTGATATCCATTCTATAATAAGGGCACCAGAACTGAACCGCATAATCGAGGTGCATTGAACAGTTAAAGGAGGAAGCCAGGGGGGTGTCAGGCAGGGGTGAACAAAATCAGGGGGGAGTATGAGGCATATGCTCAACAGTTAAAGGGGGGGTATCAGACACAATTGAAGGGCAGTTAAGGGGGGCGGAGTATCAGGCCCAAGTGGAAAAGTTAGAGGCGGAACATTGACAACACCTAGCTTAGTTGGGGGATGCACTAGACAGGGTAGAGACACGGTATCAAACACAGCATGAAGAGACAATGTGTGAGATTAAGAAGTACAATACTAGAGCGGGAGTTAGTTTCGGGCCCGGGTTGACCATTTCTTAGTTCGACTGTAGGACAGGGTCAGAAATAGGAAAGTGATTAAGAGAGGTTGACTGAACCCTCAAGCTGATAGACGAAGACGAAGCCGGCCGAATACAATTCATAGTAAAGCATCTTGTGGGGCCTGCGGCAGATCGTGTATACAATGCACACAGAGATTGGGGGACAGTAGATGGGCTGCATAAGGAGCAAGAAGGCATGAAATGTGTTAGAGAGATGCGGAGATGGTTGGCGGGGAGGACGAGGTACAGGTTTAGCTCCAAAATGATGACTTCCGCAGGTTGTACCGAGCGAGGCAATCCCTGATCGTAAGAGAAGGGGTTGTCAGGCACAGGAGACCGGAAGGAAAGAATCTATGGAGGGAGGTACCAGCGTTACTGCCAAAGTTGCAAGAAGCATTGATTAGAGCCTGCCACGAAGAGTTTGGGCACCAGCGAGGGGGATAGACTCTGTCGCTGGTGCAGGAGCGAGGTTTCTGGCCAGGCATGGGAGCGACTGTGCGGGACCACATAGCCAGCTGTGGAAGGTGTGGAGTGGCAAAAGGTGAAGTTCCAAAGCCCCAGCTGCATCTAGGGACAATTGAAGCTACCAAACCACTAGAGATGCTGGCCGCAGATTTCACCTTGCTTGACAAGCGGCAAGGAACAGAGAACGTTATGATAGTGATTGACGTATACAGTCGATACACTTCGGCCTTTCCCACCAAAGACCAGACAGCCTCGACGATTGCAAAGATCCTGGTGAATCAAATCTTCCTGGCCGTGGGTGCCCCTGAGCGGTTGCTGACTGACCAGGGCAGAAATTTTGGCAGTGCACTGGTCAGACAAATTTGTGCCACATTTGGTGTGAAGAAGATCAGGACGTCGGCGTACCACCCGCAGGGAAATGGTATGGTGGAACGGTTCAATAGAACCCTGCATGGTCTGCTAGCCACCTTAGAGGAGGAGGAGAAGAATAAGTGGCCCGAGCATCTGCAGGCAGTGGTATCGCAATACAATGTGACTCCGCACGCCACGACGAGGTTTTCCCCATTCCTGCTGTTTTACGGGAGAGAACCAAACCTGCCGTTCGACCATAGGCTGGAGGTGGACCCAGAGCCGGTAGATGAGTGGGTGATGGTTATCAGAGATCGGCAACAGAGGTTGCAGGAGGCCGTGGAGATCAATGTGCGGAGACACAAGGAAATAAATCAAAGGAAACGGGAAGAGAAAGCCCACGAGAGTAGGCTCCAAAACCATTGGTTTGACACGAGATGGCGCATTGTCGAAGTCCTCAATTCCAGGCCAGGCTTATACCGCATCGAGCCGAGTGGGGAAGAAGACCTGGCCACGAGAGTGGAAAACCGGAGCAACTTGAAGGCTGCTCCACCCCTTAGGCACACAGGCGACCCGGTGGTGGATGAACCCGAAAGTGAAGACGAGGGGCCTCCACCACAGTTGGGCATGATGACGAGAAGTGGACAGGCTGCCAAGGATGAAGCTTGCAAGCATACCAGGGACTAGGAATAGGTGAGTTATGGAGCAGTCGCGAGTATTGCAGAGAAAATAGGAGAGATGGCTATGTTAGGAATGTGCATTGGGTTGTGGTTGTGATGTCAAGAGCTTGGTTACGCGAATGGTTGTAATGGCCAGGGCCTCACTAATATGGACTGGTGCATTGTCAGAGGGTTGGCCTGCCGGCATGAGGGTCGGAGGCGTGGAATGAGTCGATTGTTGTAGTGTTTGGAGCTGCAGACGTGAGAGCGCTTGATTTGAGTCGGTATTATTTTTGACACTGGTTCTCTAGGTTCAAGGGCCAGGCAAAAGGGGAGAGTGCTTGATTTGAGTCGATATTATTTTTTGACACTGGTTCTCTAAGTTCAAGGGCCAGGCAAAAGGGGAGAGTGCATGATTGGAGTCGAAAATTTTTGACACTAGTTCTCAAGTTCAAGGACTAGGCAGAAAGCGGAGTTTGCTGACTTGTGAGCTGGAATCATGTAGATTTGAAGGTGGTTCTATGTTGTTCTTTCAGCTCATGAGGACAGTGCTGTCTTCTTTTAGGGGGGTCGATTGTCAGAGGGAGAAATAGAAAAACTAGCATCAACAGGGGTGCCGGAAGTTGGAGGACGAAAATGCTGCTTAAGTGTATCGCAGGTGTAAGATGCAGTTAATAGAGCAGGTCTCCACTGGGGTGGGGGCCGTATGCAACTTTTTTTTCTCTCAGCACATGAGGGCAGTGCTGTCTTTTTTTAGGGGGGTCGATTGTAATAATCAGAAATTTTAATGTGATATTTAGAGACGTTAGAACAAAAATGACCGATCTGCCGAACAGGGAAACATAAGTAGGCCAGGCAGAAACACTCCTGCCTCGTGGAGAGTTAAAACAAAACCTCCAAGCAACGCCCTCAGTCAGGGGGGTGGAAGCATTTTGAACTAGGCCTATAGAAATTTAAATGTACTCTGTCAAATTAATGTAGACACGATTCATGAAGTTAAGGGACAATTATAAAATTTAATGTTATTGTGGATAGTTTCCCAGTTCTAAATATGTTATGTGTGTCCCAGAAGCGCCCTGAGGGATGCAGGCGTTGACCCGGCTCAGTAACTCCCGGTCATTGACCGAGATGGACATCTAACTATGCATTCTGCCAAGCAAAGCGACCACATGGCCTCGTCCTTTCCCGCCCGTTCATCCGTGTTGCAAGTAAGTCCTTATTCGACCTCAGGCAGTGTTTAGATGGGGCGGAAAAGAATTTAACAGTAGTTAACAAAGTACTCCTTTTGCAGGGTAGCGAGACCCCACTTGGTTGGTGGTTGTTGGTTGGTGGTGATGGTGGTTTGGAAGACATAGCTGGCTACTCACGGGGTGGATACCCACCTGGCCGGCGAGCAGACAGGTGTCCCTACCT